CCGAGCTTCAGCCGAGGGGTATAAATAAAGGTCCCGCGTAGCAATACATTTCAATCATTTTAGTTCTGTGAAACTGAAATATCAGCCTATTGTAACTATGAACACACTGATTTCCAATTTCATAATATAATCTAGTAGCCATGATCATGACAGCATATGACATGTCGTCGTATCATTCCTGTGAATGTCGTACAGGAACAGTGAATTTGAGTTAATTTTAACAGAGGTGGCTATGTCTTTATTGGCTAGTGGTTCATAAAATGACGAAAACTACCTTGGTTGTAAAAACACACTTTACGCCTCAAAAAGGAGTAAATAATGGTATGTTTTATAGCTAGTGATAAAAAACTATAATATACCTACATATAAACCACGATACAAAAGACAATTCTCGTTGAAGCACCTCGGGAACTAATACACCTCGGCCTAGAAAAATGTCTTCTGTACCTTGGTATCATAATTGCTAAACAAAGCCAAGTTTTGCATTTCATCTGTGTTGGCAGGTTATAAAATTTCACTTTTCATCGATTACTTTTTCCCGTGGGAAAAAAGTGAGTACTTTTTTCCCGGATGCGGATATATATCACATATATATAGACTGTTGATGGCTTGTGTTGTGCTATATTTCCGAAATATGAGTCAATAATACTATCTCCGAGAAAGAACTGCAAGTCCTTTTATCTTCCATTCGACTTCGAGGTTACGTATATTACTAAACAACCACTAAATTCGCAATTTTTTAAATCAAATCACAGAATTAGACTAACACAAGTGACATCAGATATTTGATTACTTCAAAAGAATGATAAAGATGCCTACAACGACACTTTCACGTCGATAATTTTCAGATTTCAAAATAATGTAATATCTTCACAATATTGATTCGTCCTTTCTTCTTTCACAGAAAAAAATGTGTATTATACACGGGCAAATAATTAGAATTTAGCTCCAGGTTATGTTGTCTCCCGACTCACTTTTTTCCGGTGAGAGAAATAGTAATTTTCCTAACAAATGCGGAGAGTTATTCTTTCCCGCACGCAACTGCCGTTGACACGAACGACGCGAAGCGGAGTTCGGGCAAGCAGTCGAGTGCGGGAAAGACACTTTCCGCATGAGTTAGGAACAATATTTTTTCTACAAGCGTAGGAAATTGATTGATTCGTTCAATTAATTATTCATGCAAATAGGAACAGCTAATATGAGAAATATATTCTCTATCTACTATAATTATTAGTAATAGCTATTGTGAACTTATAACTTCTCGATGGGATCGCCACGATTATTCATACCACCCTCTACAACTGTCTGAACAGCTGCTGGAGAACTCTGGACAACCGAAGTATGCGCCGCTTCTGGACTCAGCTTCCTCTTTGGACAGTTCCTGCGTAGATGTCCAGCTTCTTTACAGAAATAACAGCTAAAACCGCGCCTCTTTCTCTTCTCATCAGCACTCGACGACGAATCGATGGTTTCAGCTACAGCATCTCCTGTGGTTGCTCCTGTCGACTCTGCCCTATTAATAGATGACTGCATATGCACGCTACTAGAAACATTTTGCACCGGTAATCCAGAAGATCTTGAATGGCTCCACTTGTGGGAATCAGCAAACTGCCTGCTCTGCCACCTGGACTGGCCATTCGCCTAACCATAAACTCTTTCAAATTCATGAATACTATGGAGAAGCTCATCTTCGTCTTTATGATTAGCAGCCAAAATACCAGGAACTATCTGCTTTATTACTTAGACCAATGATAACTTGATCTTTGATTTCATCAAATCCTAATTTCAATGCTTTACAGAGCTTAACTTTATGGTGGAAGTAAGAAAACAACGAGTTCTTACCTTGAACTGTCCGCTCCATTTCTCTCCATAAATCAGTCGCACTCTGTCGAAGACTAAAGGTCTTCTTGAATCTGATCTTGAATTCATCAATGTTTTGAATCGAATCTGAATTTGCTTTCAACCATTCGTTTGCCGTTCCTACAAGATGGATTTTCGCCGTCTCCAATTTGAATGCTTCAGGCCATTTATGCAGCATGGCAGTACTTTCCAGCTGTTCCAACCATCCCAATGCTGACTTTCCTAGTTCCTCTCCATTGAAGTCCTCAATAGATTTACTAAAATCAGGCATCACTTGGTAATAACTGCAATCCGTAGCTTCCCGCTGTTGTAAATATTGAAACCATCTGTCTTCTGAATCCTTCCGACTCTGTTCCATCAACAACATCATCTGCATAAACTTGTCCATAAGCTGATCTGGTGGACCACCACTTGAAGAACTCACATTTCCGTCAACATCTTCTGCTCTCGTCACAGGCATTTCGTAGATCCTTGACCACTTCTGATTTGATAAAGATATTATATTATAAGACTGCGAACTCTGGTTTTCAGCAAATAGTTATTTATGTAATAAGGATCATAAAGACGATCATTATGGTACAAGTCGTGAATGTTATCGGGCGAGGCGTAGCCGAGTCCGATAACATGGCGTGTGCCATAATGATTGTTTATGATTCGTATTATACATACGAAATTTTATCTGATGGCATTTATATCAATACATTTTCGAAAAATTAAAAACTGCATTTTCGACATGTCACAATGACAACTATTTTTAAAGGAGTAAGTATTGTGTAGTTTCAAATATTAGTAGGTGAGTGAGCTGTGCTTTGCCATTATATTAATATTACAAATTGAAGTAATTGTTCTTTTACCATTTATAATAAATAGTTTTGTACATAGTTATGCATTTTGAATAAACTTTTTTGATCAAACCATTACATGTTTTCCTTATAGAATTTCATTATGGTACTTAGTACCATAATGAGCTTCCTTATGTCATCAAAATTGAGTGACATAACGTTGTCATTATGACATGCCATCAGATAAAAGATTGTATTCATCACAATCTTCGAACTTTTCAATAACAGTTGAATTTTCTATCAATAACTTCCGTTGTCCTGGCACCGACAATCAAAGTAGCACCGCAACACAGGGCGATCTCTGGACTCATGGTAGTTTCTCATCAAACATGAGAAATATATTCTCTATCTACTATAATTATTAGTAATAGCTATTGTGAACTTTTACAGTTTGACGCATTATGTTGGTTCATTGCGGAAGCCAGCAGGCCCATAAGGAGTATGGTGTCTAGGTTTCAGACACTTCTATGAAATAAGCCAAAAATACCTATTCTTCATTCGGTATTTTCATTTCATTATTGTTGTGTTGTACCATTCAATGAAACGCTTGTATAGCTTCTCATACCTTTCTCGAGACCTCGTTGGTAATAACGCATCTGTATCGAATCCCTATAGCTAGAAGTTTTTGATCACATTGTGGCATTTCCACTGAATCGAAAATGACAGTAACGCTGTGTCTGTCACTTCGGCAATTTCAAACTTATTTGAGGTTTGATTGATGGCATGACAACAATAATCGTTTTCCATCAGATCAATCCAAATCTATAGGGGGATTTTTACAATAATGAATTTTTATTTATCAATATTTCTTAATTTTCACAATGAAATAGTGCAATTTGATGGATGATTCTGAACATACATACCTAATACTGCTACAAACAAACTTAAACTTTTATATCCCATCACCAACAACTTATATTATTAGCGATTTTATCATATCTTTGTTTTCCCGCACTCTTGCGGGAAAATGACACTTTCTAAACTAAATTGCGTGCGGGTATAGGGTGAATCACGCACGCTTGTAGAAAAAGAAATTTTATGAATAGTGACATTTTGTAACCTGTCAACAGAAATGAAATGTGAAACTATTTCCCGTCACAAAAAATTAGTTATTTCTTATACAAGGGAAAAAAATAGAAGGTTTTAGTTCCAGGTTGTGTTGCCTCCCGACACTATATTGAGAAGATATTACATTATATTAAACTCAGAAAATTATCGACGTGAAATTTGAAGTTTCTAACAGAAATGACACCTGCGTTACAGGCATATCTATATCATTCTTCTGTTCGTATTGCGGGATAGTTTTCGCATACCCTAGTAAAATAAAATTTATAATATCAGATACATTATTACATAGACATAATTGATTCCATATAGTTTTCCCACTAGATTTCAGGGAAATAAAAAATATCAATATAATTTTCAATACATATTATTGCCTAATTATATAATAGCTCTGCTGTCATGTGCCAGGAAATTTCCATTCATTAATTTTCATTCTTCATGCTCGTATAGATAAAAAATTTGCTGGTTACCATAATAACAATGTTGAAATAAAGCATCTGATTGGTTGAAAATGACTGGTATAAAATGTCCACTACAATTGATAGTAGTAAGTTGTATGCACATAATCAGACGAAATCAATATGAAATATTAAAAGCTTGAACCTTCAAGTCGGTTCACAAGTACTGAAGCTAACCGTTCAAAATCCCCGATGTCATGTTTCTGGTTTTGACCACTTCATATGAGGGATATGTTTATGTTGGATATGAAACAAAACTTCTCAGAGTATCAATCTTTTAATCAATAATAACTTATTCATAGAAAAATATAATGTTGGTGGAAATACAATTTGCAAATTGAATAATATTGATTTTAAGAACAAGATAAACAAACCCTAATTAATAACAATCGTGAATCACAATATGAATCTTTCATATACACGTACAAAACTCATTTCGATCTTCAAGAAGTACTACTATATATAGTAGGTAACAATAAAATGAGAAACTATCGAAGTTTCTACCGTCAACAATAACGATATCTCAGTTTTCAAGTAACAAAATATCATCAGGGAAGGTGCAGCAAAGAAATAATTAATTATTCCTCGGCAACAAGTCCCTCTAAATTCTTAGAAATGTGTTATTTCTATTTCACAATCTGGATAATGCTCATGCGCATTCCTCCCCTCTCATTCAGAAACAGTTTGGAGTTATCCAAAATTCCAACAACCAGCATTGGCCTAATCCTCATATTCCTGGATTGGCTGTTCATTGATTCTCGATGAGTCGGTCTGTTCAACTAGGCAATTCGATGACGGGTGTTGGAAATTCTGCTAGGGTGCATTCATAGAAATCGGCTAAAATTTGTTCTGTTGCTGACAATGGTGATACTGGTATTTCTTCCTCTGGCGTCAAGGGCATATTGAGATCCTTTATTATGATGGCACAGCTACAGTTTCGCGTATTTTCTAGACCACAATATTCTGAGAGTTTTTCACTACTGTCAACCTGGAACAAAGAAAAAAATCTGGTTAGTGCAAAATGAATAAGTCATGATGAGTTGGATAAATACCATATATAAATTAACACCTACTCTAACTATAGCTATAGAGTTTAGCCGGACTGTTGTTAATGTTGTTATTTCGAAAAGTTTAAAATTAATGAGTTATTTATGAGTGAGATAAATAAAGGATTCCTGGCTCTACGTTAAATCAATTAGAAAACCCCGACATGCTTTGTGGTTTACCTACCCAAGCTTTGCCCTATTTGGTTAAACATAAGCCTTGCAAAAGTGGGACAAGGAGAAATGTTGAGTAGAAAGTTGATTTATTTATCAATCACATATTTCCCGTTTAATTATCATCAGTTATCATTTCACCTCGCATTTCACCTATAAACAATATTATTGTAGGTAGAAATTGAAAAATAAAATACGCAGGCCACCTATTTTCAGTCTAATGATAATCCAAAAGTCGATTATTATACTGAATTATGGATTTTTTTTTTCGTAGATCTATGAATTAGGTATTCACTATTCAGTTATCTTGTTCAAATTATAACTATACCGACTTTTAAGAATTTGAAAAAATGTATACCTATACCTACAAAAAGTGCAGGCCTGTCTATTTTTAGTCTGATGTTAATCTTCTACATTCCATATAATCTTTATTCAATTATTGATCTAATTTTGGGCCAAGTCCGCCAAGTCGAGAAGGAAGTCAAGGCCATTACATTGAGATGATTGATATGCTCGTCATGTTACGTAGTTTATTTCTCATGCGTCAGCACTGTGACGGTATTATTGCAACTCTTGGGGTTCCCATTCTCAATAATCGGAAATTCCGTATGAAAGTGGATTCTTTGGAACTGTTATTGTGTTATTGTACTGACCTGAATTTCAACTTTCTCGTGCGAGCAACATGCATGCATATCTACCGACATAATATTATTGCCAGAAAACTGTCAAATTATATTCATACCGATATTGAAACGCTACGCCGTTGTCGCATATTGTCAACATGTCAATAGTTTATTGTTATGTTGATTGAGAAAAGTAATGAGGCAATTATCGATGAATTGCTTACGCAGGGAGTTACGCAGTATTAATTTCTATAATGGTCTAAGAGAAATTCATGTGGTAAATAGAACGAGTTCAAATTAATTCAACCTCATGTAAATCAAACGTCATTGTTATTGTTCAGTATGGACATACTACTAGGTAAACATATCTTTGCACGACCGGGCGTTAAGTAGCACTTTACCGTCCAATTTGGCGGACAAAAAGTGGCACTTTACCGCCCACGGACTGCTTTATCGCCCGGCGTATAGGTAACTCGTAATAAGCATTCCTGTATAATTCAGAAAATGTATGTTTTAGTTGTGATGATCTTCCATTCGAATTCGTGGACTAAACAGCCACTAAATTCGCAATTTTTGAAAATAAAATCACAGAATTAGACTGACAGATATTTGATTACTTCAAAAGAATGATAAAGATGCCTACAAGAAGATCCTGTAGAAAATTTCACGTCGATAATTTTTTGATTTTAATATAATGTAATATCTTCTTGATATTAATTAGTCCTTTTTCCTGTCCCAGAAAAAAATAGTGTATTACACGGGAAAAATATTAGATTTTGGCTTACGATTTTTACATAACATAACCTGGAGCTAAAATCTACTACTTTTTTTCCTTTGTACGTATAATAAATAACTATTTTTTATTTACTGTCATTGTATAGACAAGATTTTCTACATAATATATCAAAAATGTTAAATATTCATGACGTATTCTGACTTCAATCTATCGCACTGAAATATTGTTTTATGGAAATTAAAACTTATTTCTGTACCAAGCATTATTTCCTAATGTATAATAAGTCTGATTGGTGATTCTATGATCAATTCGCATTCTGCTATTTGCCGTAATTGGTCATCATGCCGAAACAGCTGTTCGGAATTTCGCCAAAAGTGGTGAAATTGCCGAAATAGCTCTACCCCTTTTCTACCCCCTTTGACGGCCTGACAAACTATGAGTTCAACACTTTTGTATCAAATACAATCAGTAGAATCGTTTGCCGCCTCCAAAATCCATGTACAACGAATATTAATGGAGATATTGATTTTTTTTGTTTTTCAACCCCTTTTCTACCCCCTTTGACGGCCTGACAAACTATGAGTTCAATACTTTTCTATCAAATACAATCAGTAGAATCGTTTGCCGCCTCCAAAATCCATGTACAACGAATATTAATGGAGATATTGATTTTTTTTGTTTTTCAACCCCTTTTCTACCCCCTTTGACGGCCTGACAAACTATGAGTTCAACACTTTTCTATCAAATACAATCAGTAGAATCGTTTGCCGCCTTCAAAATCCATGTACAACGAATATTAACGGAGATATTGATTTTTTTTGTTTTTCAACCCCTTTTCTACCCCCTTTGACGGCCTGACAAACTATGAGTTTAATACTTTTCTATCAAATACAATCACTAGAATCGTTTGCCGCCTTCAAAATCCATGTACAACAAATATTAATGGAGATATTGATTTTTTTTGTTTTTCAACCCCTTTTCTACCCCCTTAGACGGCCTGACAAACTATGAGTTCACCACCTTCCTATCAAATTCGATTAGTAGATTCGTTTGCCACCTTCAAAATCCATGTACAACGAGTATTCACTGAGATAATGAGTTATTTTCGTTTTCAAACCCCTTTTCTTTCCCTTTAGACGACTTGATAAACTATCGATTCACCACCTCCCTATCAAATTCGACTCAGGCTCTCACCCCTCTTCAGTCATTCTATGAAATGCGTTCAAGTTCCATCTGAAATCGGGTGAAATTGCTGAACACATTTTCGGCGATAAATTTTTCTCCGTGTATTTTGTGGATGTGGCTAACTTCACTCCCGTCTGTATGGATCTTGATGAATCCGAAACCATTTCGAGGAAACACATTAGGGTTCATGTTTTTGCCGTCAGAAAAATTTTAAAAAAATTATCCTGCTAACGGGGCGACCTCAAACTTTTCGGAAATTATCACACTTTCAGATATCATCCTGTAGGTCATAATTCTGAAATGGTGGAGAAACGTAAAAAAAATATGTTATAGCCAATCAACTGGGCAATCACAATCTCAAAACTAATCAAAGATCGGTTGATCTCATCCAGAGTTATCACGGTTCGAAAACAAACAAAATGTTCGCTTGTCTCACTTCAAATGTGGAGCAGTTTAGTTACACTACTCATATCTCGACTCATATTAAATAATTTTATTTACAACCATATATGTAATGCTGTCATTACTAACGTCATTGAAGGTTGAAAAGTGTCACATTACACACCTCTTCTTCCCGCCCTCACTTTCCGCCCTTTTCTACTTCCCGCCCTCACTTTCCGCCCTCACTCATGTAATAATAATTCAGGTATGTTCAGAACGAGGTAGATTTATTAATTTTGATCGAAATATGATGGTTGTAAATAAAATAGTATACAAACCTCGGTAAGGAGTTTCATTCCTGTCTCGAGATTATAGCTATTCTCGAAGCTTTTCGTCTCGGTTAACTAACTAATCTCACGACAGGAATGAATCAATTCCCACCTCGGTGTGTAATATACTATTTCGTGGTCGACAGACTTCGAGACTGTTATCGTTTTTTCTTATAAAAATCAATTGGACCACTTTGAAAAATATGGATGGTTTCCATGATCTATCTATCTATCTATCGTACCTGTATGACGGGGATGTAGTTCTCGTAGCAGAACGCCTGCAGGAGCACCGTCTGCAGATGGGTGGCGGCGTCCCCCGGCCTGGTCTGCGGCAGCACGCAGAACACCACGTCCTCGGGCGCCTTCTCGAGTCGGCCAATGGCCGGCAGCAGGCCGCACACGAGACGGCGCTCGGCCTTGGCGCGCGTCAGCATGCCGTGCACGGCGCGACCCAGCTTGCTCCTGCAACGAGAGAGAGAGAGAACGGTGAGATCGGTGCATGGTTGTCGGTTTTGGCGGTTTATCACCAGATTTATTGGTTGTTATTAAAGAGAGAGGGGCAAACAACTCTTTAAATATGGTTTACACCATCAATTTTGAATATAAATACTTTGAATTATTTTAAATATCTAGTTATCAATTTTGCATCAAGAAATACCTTGTCCACAAAATTAGCTATAGATACGAGTATAGATATCAATAGATCTGTTCATGATCTATTTCATGCTATACGAATTCCAATAAATGATAATGAAATAAACCTACGACATCATCGAAATATGTTCACATTTTGTAGTTAGTTATATCAATATTACGTCATTGAATGCATTTCCATGCTCGTTTCCATGATATCAATATTGGTATTTGATTAACAAACACTTGAAATTATTATCTTCTCGTCTTTGGGCAACTCAAATAAATGATAACCATCATACTCAGAATTTCTGCAATTCGTTACCGAACAAGACATATTCGAAACTATTTTCGCGAGGACGCCTATAGGTATTCAGTTTTCAGAACTAATGTTTTAAATCTGAGGCAATTCGCATTCGGCAATTTCAGTGCTGACAAGCGTGTCCTCATTCTCTATAGGGCGTGAAATTAGATGTTTGGAGGCACTTTAGTTTTTATGACAGTCGGTTTTTTTCTCCTTTTTTTTATTAACTTGAGGTCGTATACTTTATCTGACCTTCCCTATATATCAACTATTTGCAGCAAGAAGAACGTGACGTATCGTATATCTGTACCTTTATCTGTACTTAGTGTAGTTTGTATTCTGAATTCACACCTATCTCGCCTATTTCAAAGGTTTTGAACCTCAGATTGAATGGAAATGGCGCAGTGGTAGCTCTGGTAACCAATGAATTCTATTGATGGTAACTAACAACCTTTCTAACAACTGTTGACAGTTGACAGATGTCTGAAAAATCGGTCAATATTCGAAACGAAATGTCAAAATATTCGTATTTCACGTATATGATTTCACCTCGTGTTAAACCCTCGGTTTAACCTTTACTCTCAGACATTCACTGTCCAGTCAGAATTTATAAATAATAAATCAAATATAATATATCTTGATATAAGTACTTATATATTCTCACTGCCATTCATTAGATCTCTATAGGTAGATTGTTTTTATACACATACGCCCGAGCATACCTACTCTATTACCTATATATAATATATCTAAAAGTCATGATAACATAACTTTGCACAAGATTTCGCAAACTCAATTTTGTGACCTATATTAGTCACATTCCATTCACGCGTGTGCTGTAACAACAGAGGAAAGTATAAATTGAACTAACCTAACCTCGCCTAATCTGATGGAAGGGGAACCAAAGGTCAGTGACTGGCTTCCGTATTGGTTGGCGGATCGATAAACCGGTGCATTATCAATTTTGAACTTCCTCAGAATTATGACTCAAAACATTTGGATTCATTAATGATGATTTATTTTTTTCTCGATTTGATTTTCACCAATAGGTAATTTCAAGAGTAATCCTACTTACGTATATTTATTTTCAAGTCCACTTCAGGTGGGTCACGAATGTGTGGGCTGGGTAGATTTCATTCTCAAATTTTCCAGTTTTCATCGACATTTCACTTTTTCATCCGATTTTAATCCAACGAATATTTTTCAATTCAACAATTTTCACGAAATCTCAAATAAGTACTGATACTGATGATGGCAGATTACATAGTTCGAAACATATGTTCAGAGAATCGGAATCAGGGTAATAAAATTGTGGATTTGACTCGTCATCAGCGTGTTATTCCTGAATATAGGTAGGAAATACCCTCGGAAATACCTAATAAAACCCGAGGTTGTGAAAACAAACATTTTCAACGGCTAACTTACCTGTTGATCATTTTGCATTTATCGTCAATATTTGGAACACACATTTCAACGTCTGGCTTCAACTTTTCGATTGCTTTCGAAATATCCAATTGGGTAGGAAGGTAAGTACACTCGGTACACTTATAAGAAGGCGTCACTCACAGAGAATACAGAAATTCACTAATTATTATGCACAAGACGAATTTTCTCCTAATGAATCGATAATTCACCACGTTGTGTAATATGTCACAATGAAATAAGTAGTACACACAAAATACGCTATTACCTAATACTGCACACTGCTAGTTACGATTGTTTATGACAATGAAATAACGAATAACGAGAAGGTCGTTGAGAACGCTTTTATATCCAGACGGTTAACGTTCGAGGAGGGGGAATGTCTGCGAAGTCCGATTATCGAGAATTCGAGGAATACCCAGTGGGAAATTGGTTGGGATGGACGGCTTTTCCGCCAGTGATCAAACTGTGGACTGTATATACCAGGGGAAAATGGAAGAACTTGGGAGAAACCGAGACAAACATCAGAGTCATCAGACATTCTGAATGATAGTTACCTATTTGAAATTTTGTGGTTTGCTTGGTGCTTCTCTGCCTCGAGGATTAGTACCTTATATTGTTTCATTGATATCTATGTGGTTTTGATAGATATTATTTTTCTCAATTTATTTTGATTTATTTAAATACAGTGTGACCCACTTCTAATAGAAACACCCCTGTATCTTACGTAATCGTTGGGTAAGGATCCTGAAATTTGCTGGAGCGAGAGATACACTAAAAATGCACTCTATGACCAAGTGGGGTCATCTCCAGTGATATATACACTGCTCGCCAACAGCCATATGGAACCACCCCAATTTCCGGAAAATGATATGAGGAGTTAGAATAAGTTGAAAATCACTTCAGATTCGGAATCAAGACGCCCAATTCACTAACTATTCATATTTCTCCTGGAAAATTTTCAGTTCTGAAAAATAAAATTTTGTCGCACTTTTTACGTAAGCACCCCCGTATCTTACGTAATTTACTCTATCTTTGGACTTTCCCTTCCTCCTGCAAACTTCAGAACCCTACCTTAATAATTACGTGAGATACGGGGGTGCTTCAATGAGAATTAAGTGAGACAAAATGTAATTTTTCTGAACTGAAAGTTTTCTAGGAAAATTATGAATAGTTAGTGAATTGGGCGTCCTGATTCCGAATCCGAAGTGATTTTCAACCTAGGTTGACTCCTAATATCATTTTCCGGGAATTGAAGTGGTTCCATGGCTGTTGGCGAGCAGTGTATATCACTGAAGATGACCCCACTTGGTCATAGAGTGCATTTTTGGTATATCTCTCGCTCCAGCAAATTATCCTTATCCAACGATTACGTAAGAAACAGAGGTGTTTCCATTAGAATAAGTGGGTCACACTGTAGATTTAACTATGTTATTGTTATATTTGTTTTTTCTGAATATCTATTTTCACTGATTCAATGATGCCTGAGAACAAACCCTACCGCCTAGTGTTCTTGTTGCTCATACTATTTTTTGTACGACTCACTATACATACCGAGTACCTATATTCCTATATGTCGAGGAATTCGTATCGATCAATATTTTTCAATATTAGCATATTTTTCAATATTAGTATATTTTTATAGTAGTGTTTTTTGGATACCTGAATTGTCGCAATTTGATAACGAAATAAGAATTATACCATTCGATATTAATTGAATGGTATATCTCAAAAAACTATACCTGATGTGCCACCCCTCAATCTGAGCCGAATCTACGGCACAGCGATTCATTTGCTGTCATTATTCCGGACATACACTTCCGTCATGTGATAACGAGTTGAAACAATAAGCAAATGAAAGGGGATAATGTCCCCTTTGCGAATATGCAAACGTGCCGCATTTCAAATTGATCAAAGTTTGTGGTATCAGAGCATCAATATTTCCTATAATATTCCGCCCCCTCTCAAGATGTAATACTCAACATGTGGATTGGAATACTACTTGTATATAGTGCGAGCACCGCATAATTTTTACACTGGTCCATCGGATATTATCTTTCGACTGGGGCGAAATAATCTCGGAAATATTGATGCTCTGCGACGCTCTTAGATCAGTTCGAGTGGCGGCACGTTTAGATATTCGCAAAAGGGACATTTTTCCCTTCAATTTGCTTTTTGTATCAACTCGCTATCACATGCTGGAAGTATGTCCAGAATAACGGTAACAAATTAATCGCTGTGCCGTGGATTCGACTCAATTCAAGGAGTGACACAGGTAGGTTTTCGAGATCTACCATTCAATTGGTATCGGATGGCATAATTCTTATCTCGTTATCAAATCTCGAAATTGAGTGCAAATTACGGCACAGGAAAGTGCCATTTTTCAATCATTTGGCTAAGGATACTGATTGGCACAGGTGCTGCTTGATAAAATGAAATATTTCCACATGCCTTTGAAACATTAGTATATTGTTTAGCAAGCACGGAATGATAGTAATTTCCTACGAGAATGAATTTTGCAGCATGAGCCATAGGCCAATGCTGCAATCATTCGAGTAGGACATTAGCATTCCGTGCAAGTTATACACTATAATTTTTCTACGGCTATAATAGATAACAGCGGCATTTTCGATTTCTTCGTCTTGAAGCCATCTGATTTCGTGTCAAGTAATGCTCATCTATTAGACAGAGATGTCATTGCTTGAAATTCTACATTCCATGGGCGATGAGTTTGTTTTGAAATAATAACACAATGGAGTCATTGTGATATCAGATACGGAAATAAAATTGATGACATACAAAGTACCTCATTGATGTATCGAACACAGTAAAACAAGAGCAATCTTGTGTTACAGCCGTAGAAAAATAACATTTCGTTATCAGATGACGGTCGAAATTAGCAGACGGCTCTCCTACTTTATATACAGGGTGTTTCATGAGAAGACTCACATAGCCAGATGGTTGATAGGGAAAATCGAGGGGAAAATCAAGACGAGTTGATGAACATATAAATGAAAACATTTTTTGACCCTCCATAAGAAGATACAGGGTATTATGTGGAATTGCTATATAACTTTGATGGCCGAAATGATTCAAGATAACATATGAAAAAAAATATCCAAGTCCCGACTTGAGACAATTTTATGTTTCATTGTGGAAACCCCATGAAAAGCATTGCTTCTTGAAAGTTGCATACTTCATACACTAAAAAAACGTTGCAAAAAATCATTCACTACTAGCGAGCCTGTTATACGTAGCTATAGGTAAATGTATAAATTCACTTATTCATTCGTGCAAGCCCATTCGCATAGTGCAACCAGTAAACACAATTATCTTACTACTATAGAAATAGATGTGCACGGAAAACCAAGTGGTAAATAAACAACAATCCAGGATAGTCATGGCGTATAAGCAAGATGATTGAAGGTTGTAGGTAGGTACTTAGTAAATTTTCCATTAGTTCTGAAATGTGAAGTCCAAAGCGGACTTGAAAGTAGGCATGAGAATTATCGAAAGAATTGAATAAGGAAAAGTTATACTTACGACATATAAGTATTTCAGATTCATTAATAATTGATCAATATTATCAAGCACCCAGAATACTGGGTGTGCCAGATAGTTTCATTCAGCCATATTATCTCAGTTATACATACTGCTTAAAAAAACATTACACTTTTGTCAAACTCATATGACTTTGAAGTTGTTGTGTCAAAGTCACTTTCTGTCAAACTATATCCCTGAAAAGCCATCCCCAACAACAATTATTCAAGATATTACACCTTGTAAAATTTTTTGTTGATTTGTGAAGGGTAATCAATTCTTAATTCAGCGGATGTATGTATGTATTTGACATTTCAATTCAAAGGAAACAGTATCCAGGTGTAGATCATTTATTTTGTAATGTTTTTTGACAGTTGTTCGTCCACCTATCTATGAATATTTAGATAGATAACTTTGAGTAGGCAGGTTTCAATAATGCGGCAGAAAAAAACAATAATTTCAAAAAAAAATCGATATTAATCTTTGTATCCTTCTAAGATAATTACTATTCAGAGACGACTCATTCATCTGGTTGGTGATTCCGCAAACTGGTTGATTCTTTGGCATCATTGAAACACCGTAGGAAAGTCGGCGGCCTTACTTTTCTATAGATTCTGTTTCCACTGAAAATGTTCTTCAGGAATATCGGCTATTATTCTATCACTGGCAGCCCCACAGTCAGCATTGTCGTCAACTTCGAAAACTGACGAACAACTTTTCATCAAAACTAGTTTGTCTATAGAACGGCAAAGTTTGCAATTCTTCACCAGAAGAAGTTTTCCCATGTAGAACTCAAAACCTCAAAATTCAAACAAAATTTCCCATACGCCCTACGACGTTCGTCTAACATAATATGGATTCCCGATAGGTATGTAGACGCATACAGGACCACGGTGCATCTTTATATCCTTCCGAGTGTTATTTATGTGATAATTCAAATTGTAAATAAATACAAAAAGCTCAAAGTCATTTCCACACAATGTTCATAAAATGAACAACAATGGTAGATTTCGGGAGAAAAACAGCTACTTTCATGGCTAATGCCACGCAGAACATTGAATTGTGTTGTGTTATGTATACAGTGTGACCCACTTACCATGCTCACCATGGGTATCTTTTTAACGGTGAGAGATACGAGGTCGGTTAAATGACACCAAATGTGGAGTTTGTCAAGGCCAACTATAATATGAAAAAATATTTTGATAAAATCGATTCGTTTTTGTTTTATACGCAAAAAACAGATTTTGATCATTTTCATGTCTCCTCCGTAACTTCTTTATTTATGAAAATATTCAAATAGGAATTTCACATTCTCATGGCAGTTTTTCAAAGTGATTTCGAAAAAAATATGGAATTTATACCAACTCTTCTAGAATTTGAGATATCAGCACTAACTTCAGTTTTTTGAATGTAGGTCATAGCTCACTATGACTTAGTTACAGATAACTTTTTTTTCTCTTTCAGATGTTATGTCGCAGTAATAGTTCTGTGTTGATAACAACGGAGT